TTTTTTTTTTTTTTACACAGGAGCTGCGTTTTTTTTTGGTTTTTTTGCAAGTAGAAATTAGAAAGGAAATACACTTATGCCTGAAAAGTAGTCATTCCAATAATGGAAAAATATATAAAAGTACATTCAGACATAAATTTTTATTCTGATCTTAAAGTAATCAAATTGTGTTTAAACTGCTGTGCAACAAAATTAGTCAGCCTGCCACTGACACTCTGTTTGCATTTGTTACAACAGACTTGTTCCTAATATATTATAGGAGTTTCCTCACCTTTTGGACCAACAGACTACTCTGCACCTTTAAAATTTCTTGCAGACCATTATTTACCCCATTATTAAACTTGCTTGGAAAAAAGTGGGAAGCGGGAGGAGACTGGTGTATTCTGAAGATCACAAATAATCTGTGGACCACAATTTGGGGACCAATGAATGTAGTATTAAGGTCTGTTTTTCTTCTTTAAATGACTGTAGTAAAATCTGAGATGAACTTGTATGCATCTCACCATGCTCATGTATATTAATTATAGACAAACCACATTAAACAGGTAAATATTAATGTAGAAAAGCAAGGTCATCAATGCTTCCTTTGAAAAGGCCTATCTTATTTTGGTGTATAAATGCAAATTTAGGTGCTGGTATCAGACACTTGAGTGTAAAACATTCTGGCTTATAAGCACTGCTGTAGCACTCAACCAGTTTAGAAAACAGAATTGATAAGGCACATAGTTTGATTACCATTCTAGCTAGAATGGTGTAAATAAATCAATCTAGGATGATAAACCATCTAGTGCATTTTAGTTTTCATTCTTTGCAGGTGAATTCTAAGTGTTAAATGCATCCAGGTCTTCAGAAATTAAATCTCTGGCATAGGCATAAGAGCCAATACCTGCCTGATCCTGCACCTGTTTAGCACATCATGGCAGATCCTCAGATGGTGTAAATTGTCAACAAACTTAAATGGAGATGGGACAGTTTATCTAATTGAGGATCTGACCCATTGAGTTCAACAGAAGTATCCACATGTATAAACAAGCATGGGGTTTGTTTTACTGAAATATTATCAGCAGAAACTTTTTGGAGCAGACAGTGTTCATCTATGATGTGTGTATGTATACAGTACTTAATGCTCCTGCAGTTGGGACCAGTAAATAGTATGACTATTTAAATAATTATCTTTGATTGAAACACTGGGCCCAGTCCTGTGGTCCTAATTCAGGAAAAAGTCCTATTTAAGTCAACAGTTCTGCCTGTGTAAGAACTGAAGGGCTTAATGCTACATTGAGCTCAATTAAATGGGGAGCGCTACCAGGTTTTTAATTGGCTGTTGACAGACATGGGGGTCGGGAGGGGATGGGACAAAAAAACTGCACTTTACCAGAAGCAGCAGTGTGTTAGTTCCACCTGGTTCTGCAGCATCTATATAGATCAGGAGCTTCAGCAAGGCTTTTTGGCGCTTTTATCTAATAGAACCACTAAAAAAGTCCCGCTAAAAAGTGCCCAGTGTATACAGACGCTGGGTGAGCTCGATCCAACTAATGCAGTGTCTCTTTTGGGCATGTACTGGGCTTGGGGCAGGGGTGTACACAGTTTAAAGTGCATTTTTTTTGTTTTGTTTTTTTTGGGGGGGGAGGGTTTTTTTGTTGTCTGCAAGCAACCACTACGTATGAACTGGAAACACATAGCACACGAATAGCAATGGATGTGAGAAAAGTGTATTGCTGTGTAAATTGCACATTCGTGAAAATTCCTTCAAGTAATGAGCTTTCTTTCACTTAATACGGTTTTGGAAAAACAGCGGGACTTACTTTGGGATGTTTATTTCCTTTGAAAACCAAACATAGAAATGCAATTATACTAAATCTAAATATACTTGCAGGAGAATCTCTTTAAAAGATTGTAACTCAACTTTATGAAAGTCCGAAAAAAATATTTTAACTTCTTCATGAATCACAGCAATTAGATGTTTATAATACAAAATATATCTAAAAATTTAGTATTTGAAATGAGTTTTTCCAAACATTTTACTACTTACAGTATTATAATGACAGATAAATGTTTCATAATTAAATGTAAACTTTTCATTTTCTATTACAGTAGTTCAATTTCTTTATTAGTCTTAATCATATTTCAAGAGTATTTTAGAACTTCCTGTAAATTAAGATCTGCTTTCAATAATGTAACTACAAAAAAATGTAGAAAATTAAGAAAATTAGATGGGTGGTTTCAAAAGCATTAGAAAACAGTTTGAAAAACAAAACTGGCACTTTTGCAGAAATCTGCACGCGCGCGCATACAGAATTAAAAAAAAAAAAGGCTTTCTACGTATAAACATGAAAAGTTCTATCAAGAACATTTTGATCAACACTAAAAAGATGAGTTTATCTGGCAGCAATTCAAATAGTACAACAGAACAGAAAAATAATAAATTACTAAAAGTGGAAAACCCAGGTTAGGTTCCGGTGCACAAAAGGACTTAACACGCATGTAAATTTAAGCACATGGATAGTCTCACTGAAGTCAGTGGAGCTACCCACTTAAAATGTTTTTCTGGCTTGCAGCCTTAATGGTGAAATTTCCTACAGCCCATGTAGGCACAAAAGAACATATGTTAAAGTGCTCTGTACCAATTATAGTTCCTTGAGTAAAAATATCCTGTATACTTTGATCACTTACTGTAATTTCTCACATATAACCTGCATCTTCCACTGCTGGTTTGGGAAGGGGGAGGCAGCATTATCTGCAAGGAAAACCATGGTCCATAAATTTGGCAAGGGGAGGCGGAATAGTAGCAGTGTTAATTGCGCAGCTCTGGGGGCTGTGACAATTTACACCGTCAGTGCTCCCCCTTCTGCCACCATATTTCTGGGCCTGTGGGGAGTCTCCTTCCCCATCTGTGCACTGGCACAACCCAGTAAGCGGTGGCCCATGGCCTGGGCCCTGGTATGCCAGATCTGGCTTGCATGTTGCCTCTGGGTTGAACCTGGTTTGCTAAGCCCAGGACCATGGGCTAGCTCCAGGGCTGCATGCTGGGTCCAGCTCACCATGTGGTGCCAGAGCCAGTGCATGGTCCTAGAATCAATGTGCGGCCCCATAGCCAGCGCATGGCATCTGAACTGAGAAGCAGCTCTGGAGCCAGCAGGTGGCCCCAGGCCTGGCATGCTCTTGGGCTGCATGGCCCTAGGCCAGCCACATAGGGTCAGATGTGCCATGTAAGGTTGTGCCCATTACACAGCTTCAGACCTGCTTTGGTGGACTGAGCCCACCGCACAGCCTCAAGATCTGTCTTGAAAGATTGGACCTGATGCACAGCCATAGACCCAGCATGCAGGATCAGTCCATGAGCCACATCCAGCACACAAGGCTGGCAGCAGACTCAGGGACAAACTTGGCTCTCCAGCTGTGCAAGGTAGGATCTTTTTAAAATCATGGTACAGGGTGCAAGTTATATTCAGGAATGGTTATATGTGAGAAAATACAGTATTCTGAAAAATAGTAAAATTTGCTTAGTATATTGCAGCGTGGTAGATGCTGTAGTTTGAGAGAACTCACCTATGCAGTAAACATCTCCACTGGTTATACCTATTGGTCTTTTGCTCCGTAACTGCCTATAGTAAGAGGTCTACAAAAGGGAGACAGTTACTCTATGAAGCATAAAGTCTGTAGGAGATCATGGCTTAAAGTGCAAGTTACTATTTTTTTTTTTTTAAGGTTGGCAAGTCCCAACATGAGATCATAAGTTAACCTGTATCCCAATTCAAAACCTACCAGATAAAGTAAAACAGACTTAATCTTAACTTTTTAGGTACCAACTGCTGTAAACTGATTCAACTATAAAATGAAGGTTTAACATTTTACAATACTTTGCTGGTTACATCCAATTAGGAAACATGACACGCACTTTTACTTTTCAGACTTAATTCTACATAAAGCTTATCCATTAATAAGCTATCAGTGATAAATGGCATCAGGGATGTACAGGCACCACTTGGGAACAACTTAGATGATGGATAAATTTAGAGAGCCCTTGGGAAACCCTCCCTACTCCATGCTTATCAAGAACAGATTTAGAAAGATCTTGTACTATTTAAAAGACTAGCATAGTGTACACTGTGTATTAAGAAAAAACATCCTTACACAGCACTTCTCAGCTTTTCTCTCCTCATCTTAGCTGGTTTCCTTGGCTGGTTAAGAGTCTGCTGTGCCTAAGCTGCAGTATCTGTGTCTCTCTACTGCAAATTTCCTTTTATATCAACACCTTTAAAATAATCTTCTAGTGTAGTTCAAACACCCTGAACGTGTCAGCTGCCGCTTATCACAGGCATACAAATTAGTATATGGCTGGAAGAGTGGGTGGCGTTGCTGTGCTCGGCCCAATATTGGTGAAAACACAGAAGATGATATGTTATGACAGCTTTCACTGACAGGAGACACTGTGTTTCGAGGCTCAAGTTTCATCATGTGACACAGGTTTAGTTGCCATCAAGATCAGGGCTTGGCTGCTTAGGTTTAACATTTCTTGCACTAAAATAGCTGCCACACCAGGTGCAACTTTCTTCACAGGGTTCAATTTCATTTTCAAAACACCCTGAATAAACCTGTCGCAGCATAGACAAAGTGCATAGCAGTGTTTCAGACAGTTTTTAAAAAGTCGTTCTTTTACTGTTGCATCATTTCAATGTAAACATATAGTACCAGTGCAGAGACATTACCTACAACAGTTCTAGAGTCAGTGCAAGGTTTTGTGCAAGCTTCTCATCCGATTCAACATCCACTTTACAAGTTAAACAGACAAGTGTTTCTCTCCTTCTCTGTGCTATAAAAGGACAGAAAGGATGTATTAGAGAAGATACGCACGCAGAAAGGAAGTTCACGGTCTCTTTTAACCTAGCTTTTGATTACGATTCTACCTATCTTGAAAGAAAATATCAGAGCAAACATGCATGTGTAACCCTCCTAGCCCTTTGGTAAGTCATTAAACTGTGACTATACAGCACGTTCCCAGCCTGAACCCGCTTCCTTTGATACAAACAAAGTGATGCAGCAGAGAAAACCAGTGCGGTTAAATGGCTCGATCTGAGGAAAAATAGTGCCAATTTATCGGCGATACTGCTACTTAGGAAGTGAAGGAAAGACAAGGCCTCTACCCTGCGGAGGAGGGTAAATACTATGCCACCCAGAATAGAGCATGAGATGAAGCACAGGAAAGAGCGCGGAGGATATTTTGTGAAGAATTTAATGACAATATCTTGTGTGCTCCTGCACAGGGGATCTCTGCTTATGCAAGCAGTGCACGTGCGCAGCAGACAGCCGATCCCTCGGCTGCAGGAAACAGAGAACACGCTTAACCCAGCGGTTATTCTCGTGTGTGTGTGTGTGTATGTGTGTGCACGTGCACCTATGCCTGACCAGGTGCACCATAATGCAGAGCCAGCTTTGCAGAGGGCGAGCTTGGTACCAGGAACGACCAGTGCCTCCTGAAACTGGAGAGCACCATGACGGCAAGCAGGAACTGCTGGCATCGGTGTTGGTGGCAGTGAGTGGGGACTGCCCACAGCTCTTGGCAGTGGTGAGCGCCTGCAGCAGGCGTCGGTGTTGGCGGCAAGTGGGGACTGCCCGCAGCCGCCAGCACCGGTATTGGAGAGCAGCAACCTGGGACCACCCTCAGGCACTGGCGGCCATGTCGACAACGAGCAGGGGAGCAGGGGTGGGTGACAAGCGGTGATGGCTGCCGCCAGCTTGTGCAGGCCGATCTCAGGAGGGGAACGTGCCCTCCCGTGCATCGCCTATGCTTGTATCAGTGCCAAGGGTGACACAGGGGGTGCACGCGGGTACATGTGCACCCCCTATGCATCGCCTATGCTTGGATCAGTGCCAGGGGCAACATGTAGGGGCAGCACGTGCACCCCCTGAGCGTGGCAGCGTGCCTTGTACAAAAAGGTGCCACCGACATGGTCGTCAGTGCCTGCTGGCGGTCGCCACGCCACCCCCACCGCTGACAGCACCTGCGGGCGCTTCCCTGCTTACCGCCGCTGCTGTAACGCCACGAGCCGTTCACGCTCAGTGCCCCACCTCAACTCCCACCAGCCCCAGGCAAACTTTTACCATCAGGGCCCCCTTTCCCCAGAGCCTATATGCTGTGTTGCAAAAACCTTTCATCCCGTCCAGGCTCTGGCTGTCTCCCCCAGCAGTGGAGGGCTGGAAGCGAGTTCCTTCTCAGTGGCTACCACTGCCGCTCAAGCCCAAACCCTTTGTTTTTGGGTTGTGCTGTGCACGTGCCCACAGCAGCAGGGTGTCGTTGTCTAGTGTCTCTTACCATCTTCCTCTGGTCGCTGAGGCAGAAGGTGCAGATGGGCCGCGGCGCGGCGGGCAGGCGGGGCTGGCGCTGCAGGCAGGGCGGCGCGGCGGGG